CCCTAGTAGCGTCCTTGCTCCTAGTAGCGATGCCAGGAGCCCCTAGTTGTTCCTAGTAGCAAGGCCAGGAGCCCCTAGTAGCTTCCTTGCTCCTAGTAGCAAGGCCAGGAGCCCCTAGTAGCTTCTTGTTCCTAGTGGTAGCGCCAGGAGCACCTAGTAGTGTCCTTGCTCCTAGTAGTAAGGTCAGGAGCCCCTAGTTGCTTCTGTCCTTGCTCCTAGTAGTAAGGCCAGGAGCCCCTGGTAGCTTCCTTGCTCCAAGTAGCAAGGCCAGGGTCAGGAGCCCCTAGTAGCGTCCCTACTCCTAGTAAGGCCAGGAGCCCCTGTGTTGTCTTTTTGAGTTTGGCCACATTGGCCACAACTCTTAAATTTGGACGAGGGCACGTGTCCTACATGCGGGTTGCATACACAATCACATCACACTCCACACTATGTATGCCGCATACACAATTCAAAGATATTCAAAGGGCGACACCAACACGGCATATTATTGCACGCAACATTACAATATACTGCACATGCGACTGGTAGGTGACAACCTGAGGTGTTGTCTGCGCGAGGATAGCTGTTGATAATGACGTCAGACTAACTGGCCAGCAATTCCACATAAAGAGGATTTAGACGCCAGGCCATCGTGGCCCGATACCTCAAACTACGTTCGCAAGTTTTATTTGAGTGTATGCTGTATCAATCCAGTGCTGGATGTGTTCTTCCTGGACCCTCAGGCCCAGCCATCGCAACGACTTCAACCAGTTCTGGTTTTAAAGAATGTGTTTGGATGTGTTTGGGATCCCATTTCTGTGGTGCTTGGCTAGTTGAAACACATGCTCTGCCCGTGCGAAACAGTTATCAGTTGCTGCGCAAAGAAAGTTTGTATATAAGCAGTTATATAATATGCATAAAGATAATATCTATTCGCATATCATTACACTGAGTGTACAAAAGTATTTTTGCACATAATTACCCATTCCATTGTCAAGAAATGTTCCCCCAAAGATGTTTACCACTTGATACGGCCATATCAAAACTCGCTTCCTAGAGGTGCATTCTGAAAAAATTGAGTTCTGCAGCATGCCCGTCATGAGCGCGCCTCCAGAAGATATCAAAAAAAAACATAGAAAATATGTGCGGTGGGGTGTGTGGCAACACGAGCCTTGCGAGTGAGCACCGAAGTGTCCAGGAAGTTTGTCCTGCAGCGCGCGAGTCTGCCGTCGCAAAGTGTTTGATGTTTTTTAATGTGTTGCTAGATCACCCGATAGGCAAGGCTTGAGTTTTTAGGGTGAACGAAGTGAATAAAGGGGGTGTGGGGGGGGTGGTCGCGCAGAGGCCACTTTTGGGAGGTCAAACCTTGAGCCTGGTGGGGGGGAGCGTTCAAAAGTAGGGTCAGGAAAGCATCGAAAAAGTGGTTTGGTGATGCAAGTGATGTAAATGACGCCGAGTAGTGCATCATTAGCATCATGAAGGGGTCTGGAGACAATTTTTCTAGTCCTGAGCAGGGCATAGGGACTGTGTAGCTCTGATCATACCAAGAAGGACCAAGCAACAAAGAATGAACGCTCTGGGAGCGAACGATGTGAGTATGTCCAGTTGGAAGTGGGTGAATTCAAGGCGAAGCTACAAGCTTTCAACTATGGGCGGTCTGCTATTTTTCCTCCCAGCCCTGCTCTCTATAGGGCTTCGCATTGATGCACGATACCCGAAACACATTTCAACACAACCACAAAAACCATTTCGGGCATCGTTCTCCTGGTGCTCACTGACGTTTATTTTGCACGGATTCTCAAATAGAACACCAACAAGGGACGCTCCAGAAGGTGCCGCACCAGGCAAATCAAGAACACTAAAAACATTCAACACTTCATGCTGTGCTCCGATCTTCATCTACGTCGCAGTGATGCCAGCTCCACGAAAACTACAACCATTCAAGAATGAGTGCCCTCCTTTTTTTCCCCAGCCCTGCTCTCTATAGGGCTTCGCATTGATGCACGATGCCCGAAACACACTTCAAAGCAACCAAAAGCCACCTTTCGGGCATCCTTCTCCTGGTCTTCACTGACGTTTATTTTCACACGGATTATCAAATAGACCACCAAACAGGGACGTTCCAGAGAGCACCGCACCAGGAGAATCGAGAAAAACTAAAACATTCAACATTTCATGCTGTGCTCCGATCTTGATCTACTCCACGTTGATACAACCTCCACGAAAGCTACAGGCATTCAACAATAATTGTTCCGCTATTTTTTCCTCCCAGGCTTACTATATTGGTCTCTCGCTGTCCTCTCCTTTCTCAGGTGTGCCAACAACTTTCCCGCCCCAGGGCCCACCACACTCCCACCAAGGTTTGCAACTGTAGGAACAAACATTTCCACATGCAGTCTTGGAAGAGAACAGTTTTCCGCAAAAGATATGCCAAACTCAAGTTGGAGTGTTTCAGTCCGACCTTTGCTACCGTGTTGGCCCCCCAGCTCCCTTCTGACTCACGGCTGTTTGAGGCCAGAACGCCCCGAGTTCCTCACAAAAGTGGCACAGGTCGGACACGATTCAACGCCCTTGAGAAACTGAATATTCATGAATCATCATGAATCCATGATCCCATTCACAGTGAACACAACCCGTTGTTCATCGCTGATTGACACGCTGATTGATCATCTTTGTTTACTGGGCGTTTTGAGTTCTTGCGCTGCAAATTGGCATGGGGACTTGGTTGCATTTCTTCATTTAATATATATGTAATTATATATATATAGGAAATTGCTCCAATGCAAAAAGAGTTTGAAGAAAGCGTGTTCGGCAGGAGGCACATGTCATTTAAATCCATCAGGGATCAGTTGCAAGGAGCAACTTTGATTCGCATGATTGAGGGGAGGCCCTACCAACCCTTGCCAATCCTTGCCATCAAATCAAACCAACATCACAGCAAGGACTACTACTATATGTTGTTTGTATTTGTTTTGGGCAGCGCTGATCAGATCAATTTGAAGCTCCAAAGAGGCTGACACAACATGTTTGTTGAAGCGATCATTGTCAGTTTCGCCTAGGGCTGTGCACGGCTCGAGCCCAGTCTGGGGCCGCCGATGATCACTGTGGAGACCACTGCCAGGACGATGCGTTCACTTAACATGTTTTTCCCCCAAACAGTTTACTGTTGGAGTTCTCTCTTGGGTTCTGTTGGGATCTATGTTGACATAATTTCTTGATGCAGATGCGCCTTTTGGAGAGGACGTTGACCATCGTGGAGGACAATGATATGGTGATTGCCATTGCACAGAAAGCCAATTGAAGTAAACAAGAGCGCTCGAAGTGCATTGAAAGCATGTTCTTGAGTAGAATTTGATTTAATATGGACTTTGCATTGTTTTCTACGCACATGATATATATATACTGTTATGCTATATTCATATCTATATTGTACATCGATAGATATCAGCAAGTGTGGCTTTCAACACTCCTCAAGCCCATACATGGAGATGGTTCGATCATACCCTCAGCAAGAGCCATGATTGGACATGCTGCACATAGCTTTGGTTTGCATATACAATATATATTGACGTTTGATGCTGGCTTCGCGAAATGGAACATTGGATCACAAGAGAGCCCAGTTGAGCTGACAGGACACGCATGAAATTGGGTAAAAACTGGCTTCATGCTGAGCAACAATTCTACTTAAACTGTCGGGTCTCTTGTGTTTTATGCTAGTTGGGCTGCAGCTTCACACTGGGTTCACGCTTGCGGTAGGAGAATGTATACTTGGCAACTTATTAGTACTGAGGTGCAACCTGTCGGACTACTAGATGGACGGGGCCCGAAGAACTCAATTTCAATCTCATCTGATTTCGGTCACTGATACTCCCAAATTCTCAGGATGCCATATGATGCCATGCAATATATAGACGCACCAAACTCTTGCTGCCAGTGGATGCCACACATTGAATCACAAAAGATGTTTCTCCTGTCACAAATATCTTGTGGATCAGTTTGACCACCTGGCCGAATTCGTTGGTCCCGCCATGGTTTGACCGATGGCGGCCAAGGTTGGTTTTGTTCGAAGTTCTTGGAGGGGTTGAGTCGTCACTGGAATAGGGTTCGTCCCATTCGTTGTCAGGGAGAATGAGAAGAGGACTCACGGTGACTGAAAGGACTTGTTGTCATTGGTCGGAAGCTTGTTTGGGAAGCTCGCTTGTAGAAAGAATATTTGCGCCAATGCACATCTTCTGTTGGACCATCCTGCACGTTGGCCTATCTTTGAGGCTCGCAATGCCCATGAAGAAGTGAGGAGGTTGGAGGAGGTGAACCATGCCCAGGGGGACGCGATGGGTTTGGTCTTGCTAGTGTCAGTTCTGGGGCCTTGAGCCAGCTGTAGTCATAATATGGAACCGGCTCCAAAAAGAGTTGAATGATGCTGGATAATACTTCTGACAAGTGCTGTGTTTGTCAGCTGAGCTTCGTCTAAATCCATTGATTGATGTTACCGGTCCTGTTTCAACTGAAGAGCTCAGAAAGACTGCACACATGCCATGATGATGCGTGATGGCACATGCAGGTAGATGAAGGTGTGATGCAATTGGCTTTGGTAGCTTCTTCTTGCTAGTAGTAAGAATGCTCCAAGTAGCGATGCTAGGAGCCCCTAGTAGCGTCCTTGCTCCTAGCTCAATTCGCTCATATGCCCTTTGCACATTTCATGTGCCCTTCAAGCAGGAGAATGCAGCACTTCGACAACGCTTACAGGCACCCATGCAGAGTTGGGCAGTGATATCATGTGATCGTCTCAGCAGCTAAACTAGAGGTCTTCCTTTCGCACGCTACCGCTACAACTCCCTCCTAAAAGCTTTGTCCTTGCATGAAAAGACCCTGCAATCAAACCAATATCGGTTTCAAGGGTTGCAGTGTCTTGTGCTCCATATCCTAGGGACAGAGAAGTTCGACCCGTCTCAGACGCCGTGTTTTCTTGGTTTCTCACCTTGCCACCCCAGCCCCAGAATTTGATGGTTTCTGCCAGGTCAAAGATGCAGTCTTTGGGCAACGACACCGGAATTGTTATATCTCTTTTGACGAGTCTATATAATTATGACGTGATGTGGTACCTACAATATCTACAATTGTTTACATACATGCTTTCAAGGATTGCTTAGGTGGTTGAGGTGATAGAAATGAGACGGTAGTAAACCCATCCTTTTTCAGATAGAAGTAGACATGCGAGACTAATGATGTTTTCACCATCCAGCAAGCTTTTAACGATGTGGGTTGTTTGTTTCCTTTATTCACAGCAGGGAGTTCGGTCAAAGACGTTTTTGCTTGTGACAAGTAAGACGTTTGTGGGCACGAAGATTCAGATCTTTACACGAATGAAGCTATATAATTTGACCGTATCAGATGATGCCATATAATGCCTTGCCAAACTCCTGACTTTGCAAAGGCGGATCCTGATCTTGAGAACTCCACTCAAGCAGACAAGGCTCGGGCCGTGTTCATTGCTTGCGGCAATTAAATGGGAGCCAAATGTACAAGCGAAGACATGCAGCTAGATGGGTGTGTATTTTTATAGGCAGACAACCTGGCCCAATGGGTTGTGGTCTATTTCCCTTCTTCCAGGGGGTCGAACTGGGAGGTCTTCCTATTTGAGCTACACACCCATATGTTGCGGCGTTACTTAGACAACAGCGCGTGGCCTAAGCGCAGCCATACTAGTATTGTTGGTGTCCTTCCAGGAGGAGAGGACAGGAGTTTCGGACGTGCATTCGGATGCAAGGGGTAGGGAGACTAATTATATACATATTACTAGGGAGACTCAGAACGAAAAGGGAGAAAGGTCTAGAGATTCAAAGAAAGACAAAGAAAAGGAACACTAAACAAGGTCCAAAAAAAAGTGCCGTTAATAAATGAACAAAACAGGTTCCGCTGTTTCTTTTTGTGGAAGACTTGGGAGACGTCTCTTTTTCTTCACCGACATTTTTTGACCATGCTTGTTGCCTCAGCGACAAGTCTTGTGCCCAAGATTTGCGCAGTTGGACAGAAATATCCTCCCCCCAAACACCCCCTGACAGGTGAACTTTCACAAACCTGGGTTGAGTGAGTATGAGTGAGTATGAATAGTGCTTTGCCCACTGGTTATAGCTGGCTGTCTCCACAGTCCAATACAGACCCAGTCAGAGCTCAAGCAAACCAAGTCAAAAAGCACGCCTGATACTTGAGGAGCTAAAAACTAACAGCTAAGCTTAGTTGCCGGAATCAGCTCAGGTGGATGGAGTGAGAATGTCAATAGCAATGGCCTCCGGCCTATATAATAGCAATGGCCCTGGCCTCCAACCTACTAGCGATGGCCTCGAAGAATTACCGGCGATGGCCTCCAAGCCAATAGGCAAAGAAACACGAAGGATAATGGGGAACAGCCTGGCATGAGAGAGATGCATTTATATAGGAGCCACCCGCAGAGCATGTTGAGTGCTTTGGAAAGCTTGCTTCTAGGCCCTTCATCCTGGGCAAAGCCGCTTGCTGATGCTGCGACGTCAGCTGCTCAAGGAGGTGCCTGGTGACGTCGGCATCGGTTTGTACGATGGACGAAGGCCACAAGTAGCTTTATTGTTACTAGTAGCGATGCCTCCACCTAGTGGCTTCTTGCTGATTCTTGCTACTACGGAAAAGAATACGTTTGAGGGAAAGCATCGCAGGGGTTCTTTAGCAGGTTTATGTTGGCCAAGGATGTAACAGCATGCCTTTAGCCCCTGATGCAAGCGACTTGTTGACAAGGGGTGAAAGCTATAGATATTTGGATGCAATTACTGCCGAGGGACACGAGTAGTTACATCGCTTCTGAATAGCAAATGATTCGAAAGCAACGGATTCTGAGACTGATGCCAACAATGGTTGACTTTGTCAAAAGCAGTTCATCAAGAAAGGCACATGTACGCTGACAACTGCAATGTTCCATTTGAAAGAGCTGAAACGACTCCTCAGTCGTTGTTTTGTTTGACTTTGGGCTCCTGCACAGGAGGTTGCATGCGAGAAGACCATGCGGTACTTGACAAAGCAGCAGAATGCCATCATGGCATTCCAAAGGCGGCTTGCCCTGTGTTCATTCTGTTGTTAAAATCCAACTTGGGCGTTTCAATGCGTTTGCACTGAAACACAGTTCTTGTGACACATTCAGTGAAGCTGAACTGGTTGGTGACTATAGGCTATGACTATGAATTTCTTCGGGTGATCTTCATGTCAGGCACGGAAGAACTCAAGGCTTGGAGGCACGAATAAATGAGATTGCCTGACTATGCGCGACATTCCGCGATAGCATGTAGCGATTGTACCTTTTGAATCCTTTTGAATATTGAATATATTATAATATATTGAGGCCCTGGTGAGTTGGAACTGCTGGTGGTATCGGTCAAACATAGAACGATGTTCTGCAGGTTTTGGATGGCGGTTTGTCCTCTACAATTGGGGTTTGGAGGCTACAAACTTTTGACCCACAGCCAGTGGTGAGAATTGGTGTGTTTTGCTTTCCTTTGGGCATATTGATGGAAACGCCCCTGCAGCCTGTGCACTTCGAGTAGGCAGATGCACTGTCCGCACGGATGCTCACTGCAGGCGCTTTTGGCTGAGACTGAAAGCTTCCTCGAGGCGTTCACCAACTGCGTCGTGGAGTAAACCTCGATGCTGTCGTAAACCCTCGCAGAAGTGGTGGGCGTGGTTTTCTAATAGCTTCTTGTTACTACTAGTAAGGCACTTGTTACTACTAGCGTGGCACTTGTTCCTAGTAGCGATGCACTTGTTACTAGTTGACGTTTTCACTACTGGGCAGGGCCTGTGGCAGGGCAGTTGAGAGTTTTCTCCTGTTTTTTTCTGTCTACGACACACTCCGGCTTCTTGACATTTGGCATGCCCCGTAGCACTTGTGTTTGTGCCCTTGTACCAAAAACGACGAAGTAATGCGCAGGATACGGTTCGTGGAGGTACGCTGTTGAATTTTGGAGTTCTTCAAGAAACTGAGCAGGAAGAACTTTTTCCGTGCAAAGGTTTTTTACTTGTTTGAGTCTTTTTAGCCAACCAACAATGGTGGCCCTGGAAATCACGGCAGGGCCTGCCGGATCCAGTGGAGTCTGCACAGCGAGCAGCCAAAGCCCGGCAGGCGTCAGGCGCTGAATTCTGGCACTTACCCTCATGTTAGACAAGCCTGTGAATAGGCCATAGGACTCCTTCTAGTTCGTGATGATTTATGAAGCCACCTCTTTCGTTCGGTTTAATACTATATTAATATTGATTATATATATGGAAATCATCTTCAATGCGGGCATGTCATTTTGAGGACGTAGCGACTATCTGAGAATTGGTTTTCTTACGGGACAAACACGTATGAGGCATGAGACATGAGATGATATGAGATTATGCTCATGAGTATGCAGGGCCGTGATGGACTGTAGGTTTGGCCTCGGCATCACTGTGTTTGGGACGTTTGTTTTCTAGTTGTTTCAGTTCTCTCTTTGCATGAGCTCAGAAAATGTATTTAAATTCGGAGGGACGCCCGTGAAGAAAGCTTTCTGGAGGACAAAAGTGACAAAAGTCCAATATCTCCAGATATTTTTCTTGTTGGCATATTATACAGAAACTATAGGAGTGTTTATGTTGAAGCTTCTCATCTTCTGACCACCAAAAGCACTGTTGCTTTACTGCGCTGTTTTGTTATATGGCTTGTGGTATCTTGTGGTCAAGCTATATCACTTGACATACCTTGCAGGAACCCAAGACAAGCCAGGCGACCATGCTGTTCGTATCATGTGGACAAGTCCCTTGCCCCACTATATCTTGGATCGCTCGTTCCAAGGCTGTGGCAGATTTTGAGCAATGTGCTTGAGGACGAGCTCATGGGTCATTGCATGTTGCTGACCACAACAAGACGGTAGGTTGATGCAACCATAATAAGTCGACAGGATTAGATCGAACGCCACAGATGTAATCAGATGTAGAATATATCAATAGGTTGCATGTGTCCATGCTTAGGGTGCACAAAAAGAACTCGGTTTGGCTGGTTTGGCGTTGGTTTTGGTTCTGGTCGCAGGACGCCATGATGACGCTGAAGCGACTCCAAGGTGAACCGACATGATGCTGGGAAAGCCTTGCGGGTGAAAGACGCAAGCCTCCAACCTAGGTGAACTAAGCTGTATGTGTGCACTGTTGGTCGGTACGGGGCGTTCTCGTGTTCCTTACATCATACATCCAAGGTCTGAAGACGACTGCGTCGAGTGTGAAGTTATCCACGTGTTTTGCTGACAAGGTCTCTGTATTTCTACATATTTGTTCTGAAGAGTGAACTCATTGCTGGTGTATTGTGTGTTTCCCTATGGCAATCGGTTGATTCTTGTTATATAAGAAGAAGGCTAAGGCCAGCCAAGACAGCAATAGTCCAGTGGTTTTCTCACTCTGAGTCGTTTGGCTCAAGATACCGTATCTCGGCTTGCTCTGTTACACATTCTGTTGCTGTAATGGCCAAAAAGGCGACTTGGTCAACAATGTCGCTCAAATCGACCGCTACCTAGTAAGGCACCTCCCACCATAGCTTCTTGTTCCTGGTAGTAATGGCCTCCAACCTAATAGCGATGGCCTCCACCGAGCGTAGCTTCTTGCTACCGAATGGAAAGGGCTTCTGACCCAGTTTCGACTGCCAAGGAACGCACGTTGTTTTGCTTCAGGTCGGTGGGGTTGACAGCCCACGGGTGACTGACCACAGACGCCTTGTGTGTAACAGTTTACATGAAGTGCTTTTGACTTAGAAGTGGCAACCTCCTAGCTCAACACCCAGAACCTGTGTAGCCATGTACCTGACGCCAGATTGATAGATTGCTCAAAACAGTTTCCCTTTATGATAGAGTGTGAAGATAAAGTGGGCAGTTCCCAGGTTGATTCGCCCAGTATGATCGAAGATAATGTTTTGTTCTTGGATTTACCTTCCAATTTTGAGGTCTATATAAAGTTGTTCTGTGGGTTCAACTTGTTGTGTTGCAAGCTCATGATAGCTCATGAAGGCAAATCCATGCACAAGACAACGTGCAAAACAAGATCAAATGGGCATCAGTCTTCTTTGTAATTTGCACAAAGAAGGGAAACACTTGCTTGAAGACCTTGCCTTTGCAGGTAGATTCAGTTGCTTCCGAACACCTGGACCTTGATCGCGTGGAGTGTGATGTAGATCGTGTGCGTTTGACAAACGTTTAGAGAGCTTAGGCGAGTATCTTTTGCCTTATCCTGATGCTTGCAAGCGTGTCTTGGCAGTTTTCACTCTTCGGTTCTGACCGAAGATCTAGAATCTCTATATTATTTATATGATATAAAACAACATATATCATATATATATATATTTATAGTCTTTTGCATATAAATAACTATATACAGAGAACATGCTTTATGTTTGTAAACAAACTCACGTCGGTCTTGCAGCGGTGTGTTTTACTGCTTCAAGTTTTGCAACATTGCTCCAGAAATTGGGTGTTTACTACCAAAACTCTAGATGGCTCTAGGCAAAGGTTTTGTGCTGATCACTTGGTGTGGTGGTATTCCAAGTATTTGCGCTCGCTACCAAGATGTTGTCTTTGACTGAATCTTCAGCTAGGTACACTGTTGTACTTATAAACTGCTGATGCGGTCTACATATCAGCTGCTGAAGCTACCAAACTAAAAGGCAAGGACGCCCGTGAATTTCTGTTTGCTTGGATGTGACCGTTTCAAAGCCTTTATATGTCTCACACGGCTGTGGGTCAACAACACCCCGTACCCCGGCGAAGATGTGTTTTGCCATCGTCACCTACGTTCTCCCGTTCTCCCACCACAGTTTTGGTTGATTTCGTGCCTTCTTAAAGTCCTTCCGTGGTTGCCTGCTTCATTTGCTTTGCAGGGGCTGCCCACCCCGAGGTCGTATTACCTCAGGGCTTGGTGCTGGCTCGTGGGACGGTGGCTGATGATCCCAAGCCACCAAGTGCCATGGATTTGACAAGAGCAAAAGAACAGACAAGGATCTGCTGAAGGATGTGCTCGGAAACATGGAACACTGGGTACTTCATCCAATGTTTGGTTGCTCTTGCAAACTTTTCGGGACTGTTTGGCTGTCATTGATTGAATCATTGAATGCAATGTCTATATGTAATATGATGTACTCGTACCTTCATTTTTTTCAGTGATTACGATTGTGCAGGAGCGTTGCACATTATATGCAGGCATGCTCCAAACCCTGGCGAACCATAGGGGTTTAAAAAGATATATACCCTTTAACTACATGGTTCCAAGACATTGGAAAACGATAGGGGACTCACAAATCTGAGAATCCAACAGCCAGGCCGCACATAAGAAATTTTGGCCTTACCTTTGTATAGTTGATTTGTAAGCAGAGAGAGAGAGAGAGGGGATCCATGCTTGGCTGGTTGCTTCGCAATGCACACTCCGCCCAATGCTTTTGTCATCAAAAAAGAACGCTCAGAAGGGGGCCAAGGGAGCCCACTGCGCGTAGGTTGGAGGCCGTCTCTATTAGGTTCGAGGCCATCGCTAGTAGGATGGAGGCCATTGCTACTGGGTTGGAGGCCATTCCTATTACGTTGGAGGCCCTCGCTAGTAGCGTCCTTGTTACTACTAGTAAGGCACCTGTTAGCGTGGCACTTGTTACTACTAGTAAGGCAATTGTTAATAGTAGCTTTCCATAGCTTTCCGATATCGCTGAGTTGCGGGTGGATGGACATCAAGCCGACCGCCAACAGCAGATGATATGGAGGTCTGGAAGGAGGTCGTCACTAGCGTCAACAAGGACTTGTCAAGCTTTGGGTATCTTGGACGTGAAGAGAAAGTGGCAAGCCTTGTTCCATCTTGTTCCCGTGGGGCAACGATAGCACGAATCACAAGGTTTTCTGGACATCTCGAGTAGTTTCTCATGTGGTGGAATTTGCAGCATTGCAAAAGCAACTTTGAGCACCCAATTGATGGTCACGCATCCCACTTGCTTACAATTCTCTGCAAAGCAGCTCGCCTAGTCCTAAGCACCCCTCATGGCCGGCCGAAAGAAACTCCGCGCGCATTTGGACATGTTCAGCCCTTGCAGATAGAGATGAGACACCAAGGCAGCCGACTGAAGTTTCAAGCCAAGTGGTAGCTGGAATCAAGAACCTTGGCCGTCAATCAGCGTTCGTTTCGGTATGTTTCGGTGCTTTGGCCGTCCTCTTGAAATTGCCTGTAGATGCCTATCTCATTTATGCAGTATCTAGTTATGGAAACCTTCCACGACCCTTCAGACTGGATGTCATTGAATGTTCACAAATATTGTGTGTGTTTTTTTTCATATTTATTGAACATTGAGTTGCCAACTTCTACTTCTCAATGGCATTTGCAGCCTTTTTCCTGTTATTTGCTTTGGGACAAAGCAACGGTAGCAGTTCTTAGTGACAGAAACATTTACGGTCAACAGATTCTTGTTGCGCATGTAACATCAGTGCATCTTCGACTTCTGCTGGAACTGGCTGGAAAATCAACTCATTGGTCTCTTGTTTCAGAGTTGAAGCCTTTAGGTCTCTTTTCACATCTCACACACACACACACACCTTTTAAGTCCCATGATTCTTCGTGCCTCAGGTACAAGTTTGGCTTCCCCAACGGTGGAGAAGTGACGGTCTATTCCGTGCCATGGTTGAAGAAGCTGGAGGTCACACAGGTGAAAGACGGTACATCCTAGGCGCGGGCGCTGTCGACAAATCTTGACGAACCCAACAACGTGTCGACCGTGTTGAAGGTCCAAACAAAGTCGTAGGGTACCTTTTTTCCTGCAGCGGCATGTGCATCAACTTCTGGATGTTCAGAAGAGGTTCCAAGGCCATTCGGTAGGCAGGTGGTGCAGATTCTTGCTATATATATATAGTTAAATACAAGCTAATTGTTACACACCGTATAGGCAGCTGTAGTATAGTCGAAGTGACCCACTCGCAGAAAATGACTCCCACTTAGAATTGCTGTGAACATTGCTTCTATTGCTATCGAATTGGAGAACTCTAGATGTGCAGAGTAGTAAATACGATGTGCATGTTCATGTTGAAACGAGGACACATTTCCAAGTATATAATTGCTCGCAAGAATAGTCGCTGGTAGGCACGCAAATATGCAGGCAGGAAGCAAGCAGGAAGCATCATAGTCTTGGCTTGAGATCAAGCAGTTCTATCGGGCAGATTGTACAGGTTGCCCGGAGCGAGTGCAGATTCATCAGTAGTATCTTTTGGCACTCAAATGAGAAGATCCACTCTGCAAGTGCTCCCGTTCCAGGAAAAATTGGAGTTTCCTGTGGATGCGCAATGTAGAGCAGTTGGCATCCTCAAGTACAGTAGATGTTGCAAAAAGGCAAGGGCAAAGTTGGTTAATTGTTGTTGAGAACAGACGTGAGAGCTGCTTTATTCTAACTCTGGGCTACTGGATGTACTTGGCCCTACAAACTGAATGGGCCTCGCACGGTTCTTGTGCAAAGTAGGTTGCTGAACAAATTCCATGAGTGTTCTGGGCAATTCAAGCAGTTTGAGGGAGAACGGGCGCCAATGGGTCACGAAAGAAGCTGATGTAAATATAGGCACCGTCTCGGAGCGTCTGAGTCCCCAAGCGATATTGGGCTCCTGGGCTTAGGGTGTTGCACAACGTCGACTTTCTTGACGTTTGAGCAAACTTTACCGCAACACCCTGAACACGTTGTTGGTTAGTTGGAATATTTGTTGTGACGTTGTTGGCGTTCCAAGCAACTTTGCCGCAGACGTTGGTTGGAAGTGCTCCACTCAGCAACGCGCCATGGCGATTGAACGGCAGATGTCCATCACCGGGCGCAGTATGGCCAACAAGCCATGGCCAGATGAGAGCCTTTGGTTTTGATCGTGGGGACCTCGAGGCTGATCGCCCGGACCTGTTCACCATGGCCTTATCGATCATGGTGGCCATGTCCGGCAGCAAACAATGACAAGCAAACAGAGTAAACAACAAGGAGTTTGGGCTACTTTGTAGGCCCTTGCCGAGGGTGAAATAACTTGCCGGATAGAGGATAGTTTTCCCTTGTTCAGCAAACAACCCACACTTGAAACAGGCAGTGAGCAAATCA